GAGCCTTGGTGGCGCAGCAGACTAAAGCACTGTTAAGTAACACCAGCTGCCTGCAATTACTGCAAATTCAAATCTCACTAGGCTCAAGGTTGACTCAGCCTTCCATCCTTTCAAGGTAGGTAAAATGAGGACCTGGTTTGTGGGGGCAATAAGCTGACTTTATATAAAAAAGGACACCGCTTAGGGGAGCCAAAAGCCCTACTAAGCAGGTATATACAAAAGTATGAAGGCTATTGCTTAACGCATTGTAAGCTGCCCTGAGTCTCCGGAAAAGGGCGGCATATAAATCGAATCAATCAATCAATCAATAAAACTATCCAGTGATGTGAGAACCCACAACATCTTTGACAACTTTGACAAGACTACACTTCTAACATACACTAGTTGTTACAACATGAAGATTCTAGCACCAATAAAACTTCTGCCCATTAATTTTTTTAAACGATGAATAATTAAGAAGAATTTTAAATGTTGTTGTAAATAGTTTCAGATCTTTTATCGCTATCTCCAACAAATCACAAATTACTGTATTTTTTGGAGTATAAGACGCACCTTTTTCCCCCCAAAAAAGAGGGTAAAAATCTGGCTGCGTCTTATACTCTGAATGTAGCCCCGCCCAGCTTCTCAAATGGAGGTTTCTGGGGCTGAAAAAAGCATCAGAAACAAAGCTTCAGAAAAGAAGCCCCCAAACAGAGCTTCAGAGGCTTTTTTTCTGAAGCTCTGTTTCGGAGGCTTTCAGAGGCAAGAAAAGAAAGTTTTTTCTGAAACGGAGTTTTAGAAGTTTCAGAGGCAGGAAAAATTTTTTAAAAAAGCAAGGCATAGAGCTCACAACCAAGGAACCTGTTGCTAAAATTCACCTCTGGGAACAGCTGATTGGGGGTATTCCAGAAGGCTGATCCACCTGCCAATCATCTGTTTTCTTATTTTCTTCCACAAAAACTAAGGTGCGTATACACCGGTGCACCTTATACTCTGAAAAATACGGTACTTCCAGAACACTGAATGTCTTAGCTTGACTAGTAGAAAAAAAAAAGAGTAAAAATTTAAAAGGACATTTATGTACAATTCTCTTTATTGCTGCGAAAAACAATTTCACTCTTCTAGAAGTAAACACATAACATATATATGCATATTTTGAAAATGTTTGCATTGTTCAGGGTACTTGAAAAAACTGACGACTTCAGTTGTATCATCAATCTTATTCATGGAAAAATGTTACAGATCTGGAAGAATATTATTTTGATAACTATTTTGAAACTCAAGTGTATGAAACTGAATAAATTCAACTAAGTAGATTGCATATGATAAAATATGTATTTTGTTTCTCTTTTTATGAAATAATCCCTTTTGTATATTAAAGTTGTAAACACTCTCTAGTGCCATCTGGTGGATCTGATATAAACCGCCTATTTAGTAATCAACATAAGACAGTTTTTCTCTGTGATACTCTTAAATTGGACTTTGAAGAAGCAAGATAGGAAGAGTACAGATGCTTCTGAATGAGATATCATCTGTCTATCTCGAGGACTGAAATATTAAGGATTTCCAGTTTGAAGACCTATTAATTCCAGTATGATTCTTGTTAGCCAAGTTGCACTGCCTCAAACAGAATGCTTCACAACTTGAGGGTTCACTTGCAGTCACAGCTTCTGCTCAAGGAGTACTTGGGAATTCTGGTCAAGAGAGTTTTGGCCTTGTGTGAGATCTGTGATCCTTCCTGGACAGGAAATGTTATTCACTGTCATTCACACCTTAGTCACTCTTTGACTGAACTATTGCAATGTGTTTCATATATAGCTGCCATTGAAGAGCATTTATAAGCCACAACTGGCCCAAAACCGAGTGGCTCAAATAGTTATGGGTGTATCTTGTGATACCCACATAACACTTATACTGCATTGGTTGACTTTTGGCTTTGGGGTAGAAATCAATGTGCTGTTGTCACTTTTTAAAGCAGTGCATAGTTCAGACCAGGCTTTCTTATACGACTGCCTTCACCTAGCAACATCTGCCCACTCAATACAATCTAGCAGAGAAGGCTTCTTACATGCCTCTATGATCAAACTGCCAACTGCCATGGAATTATGTCTTCTAGGTGCTTCCCCTTCCTATAGAACAGTATAGGCCCTGACATTGAAATGCCCTCTTCCTACCTGGCCTTCAGGAAATATGGACATTGGGCTGTTTTATCAAAAAAAGGAGAATATTTTTAGCTCAAGGTTGAAATGTGGGGTCCTTAGTGCTCTCTGAACTTGGTTGTTTTCTTGCAGACATTTCATTAACCAAACTAGGTTTGGTTCATTAACCAAACTGAGTTAATGAAAAGATAGAGCCGAGGTGGCGCAGTGGTTAGGGTGCAGTATTACAACTACTTCAGCTGACTGCTAGTTCAGCAGATCAGCGGATCAAATCTCAGCGGCTGAAGGTTGACTCAGCCTTCCATCCTTCCGAGGTGGGTAAAATGAGGACCCAGCTTGTTGGAGGCAATATGCTATTTAGTATACTGTCTTTGGTGTAAGCTGCCCAGAGTTCTCGGAGAGTGGGCGGCATAGAAATATGATTAATAAAATAATAATAATAAAAATAAAACTACATGCTGATGATGTTACCTAGTTTGGGGTAATGAAACGGCTGCAAGAAAACAACCAAGCTCAGAGAGCACCAAGGAGTCCATCACTGGCTGTTTCATCAAGGCATGCAGACTGCTTCCCTACTGTTATGTCTGCCCACCGGATCTTACAACTACCATGATCCCTTCTGAGGAGGAATTTATTTTATTCTTCTGCATATGTCTATTGGTGTTATAATATCAAAAATGCTTTTTAATTTAATTCATAATGTTTTAATCTCAGTTACATAACTGAGGAATTTCATACTACTCAGAGTCAGCTAACTGAAGTAGCCTATAAGCTCTGAAAACAAATAAAACACATTCCTCAGACTAATTCACACAAACCCCTAAATAGCTTCCAAATCATCTACTGTACTGGGTACTTAAAACCTCTAAAAATTTCTTTGCATCACTGCAATTCAGGTACAAAGCCTATATTTTTTTTAACAAACAGTCTTTATTACTCTACTTTTAAGATTTTGTATTTCTTTTATATGTGCGCATACATCTTTTTTATACACACTCTCCTATTTTACACAGACACACATTTAACATCTAAATTTCTTCATTTCATTTAGAAAAATATCAAGAGCAGTCTGTATTATTATTATTTTTTTGCTCTGAGTGGGGCATTATGCTTGATGAGCAACATGACCCCTTTCAGTGATATGTCATTATAAATCACTAAGAGATTTCACACCTCTAAGTGTTTAATGGTGAAATATCAAGGCTTCAAATCGCTCACATCTTTTTAGCAGTGAGTAGATGAGTGAGTGAGAATATCAGTTCCAAAAATGCCACCGTGTTTGCTTTTACACCAACTTCATAGGAGACAACCAATACAAATTCTGAGAAATGAGTCTCTATGAATACTACAGAAAGTGCCTCCATCGGAAAACACACAGAATGTCTTCAGTAGCAACATACATATAATGTATGTTTAGCATATTTTCACAATCTTTTGTGAATGCCCCAACGCAAGTATGTATAATCCTCGATTTACAACTGGTCACTTAGTGATCTTTTGAAGTTCTGACAGAACCCTCCCCTCCAAGACTTACGATTCGATTTCAAAGTTCTAACCTCTCCCTCTGTGGTCACATGACTGCATTTTGCATGATCGGCAACCGGCCCACATTTATGGTTGTTTGCAGTGACCCGTTGTCACATGACTGCAATTTATGACAGTTTTCCAGAAAAAGGTTTTCCATTTATCACACTGTTGCACCTAATTAGATTCGGATATTATATTTTATTCTAATAAACCATGGCTTTAAAAATGAGCTGTCTGCTCACATTGCCCATTCTTCATATGCCCAGTTTAGATATTTTTTAAAAAGTATTCTACTTTACCCAAACAGGAAAGCCATAGGAAACCAAAATCAGATCAGGGGAATTCTGACTTTATATGATATATTAAATTATGCAATTGAAACGGACCTTGAACTAGTAGCTTTTCCCAATTCCTTGTTCTATTTCTGCACCAGAATGCAGAATGAAGGGTCTGTAATTGAGACATCTGGAGAACAACTTGAACAACATGAGTCTAGGGAGTTTCCCTGCCTGCAATACATGTAGAAGGCCATTGCTTAATATGCTTAACTACAGCTATTTTTATTAATGATTTCCCATTATTTATTCCTCACATAATGTAAGAGAAGATTGGACTAAAAATTACAACAGTTATTTATTCCTGTTTGACATAGACCAGATGCACTAAAGGTTGCCCAATAAATCTGTATCTCCTATAGCAGGGGTGTAAAACTGGATTTCTTTGAGGGCTTGATCAACATTGTAGTTCTTCTTTGCAGACCAGTGGGGTGGGGGGGGAGACAGGACAGATGCGTCCTGTAGCACTTTGCCGGCCAAAACTGTTAAGTTTTCAACTTGTAGCCATTTATTGAATGACTGTTCAAAGTTACAACGGTATTGAAAAAAAGTGACTTATGACCAATTCACACATTTACGACTGTTGTAGCATCTCCACAGTCACAGGATCAAACTTCGGATGCTTTGCAACAAGCATGTATATGCAATAATTTGCAGCATCCCAAGGTCCTGCGACTGTCATTTGCAACCTTCCTAGGGAGTTTCTGACAAGCAATGTCAATGGGTGAAAAATATTCACTTAATGACTATATGATTCATTAAACAATTGTAACAATTTTCTTAACAACCATGGGAAAAAGGTTGTAAAACAGGACATGATTCACTTAACAACTGCCTTGCTTAGCAATAGAAATGTTGGGCTCAATTGTGGTAATAAATCAAGAATGACCTGAATCTGAATTATTTAATGCTGAAACAACACAAAATAGAAAGAAAAACACAAAATAAACTCAGAATTTTATCAATTTTCTTTCCTTTTCTACTTTTTAAATTTCTATACCTTGTAGGAGGCACATCAATGTTTGAAGATACAACTTTGCGCTTCTGTTCAAGAAGACAGATAGAACGAGTATTTTCTTTTTCATGATCATGAATTCTGCCAAATTTTTTGGTGTCTGCTGTTTTTGAATCTTCTTCCTTCATAGCCAACACAAAAAATTGCTGATCTGAATGTTTTTGATTTAGATCACTTTTTAGGTCTTCCTTTTGAAATGCTGCAAAGGTCATTTCACGCTTTATGCTGGTTACCTGAAAAATAAAATACATACATTATTAGATTTCTCACAATTCATTTTAAAAGAGTGAGCAGACTGGGTTAGCCCTGACCTGGGGAACTGGATATGTGATTGACTTTGTTGATGGTTATTTTGTGATGCTCAGTTTCTCTGTGTTTTTATTTTATATTATGTATTTTATTTGTTTTATTTACTGTACTGTAACCCGCCTAGAGTCACATATGTGAGATGGGTGGTCACATAAAGCAAATAAATTGCAAATTTGGGGAAAAAAATGTTACTGTACTTACAAAATTAGGGTGTGTAATAGATCTTTCTTGTAAAAATCAACGTTGTTGGCCAAAGCTGTGGCCAGCATATTTTGATACCAGAACAGTACTTGCTATAATAAAAATATTTCCATAATGAAGCTTGAACAGGATACCTTGCCACTAAAAACAACTTTTTAGCAAAGAAAGAAACTGTCTAATTTTCTATTTATATTTCATTTATGGTGTAACTATGGAGTCATTAGACAGGTAGGAGAAGCTTCTAAACAATTTTAATCAGCTTTCTATATTTTTGAAAATATTTTTGAAAATATTCAGAAGATATTTTCTTCCGTACTAGACAAAGAAGGCACCATCTTATCCAAAATGATCCTCCCTGGCCAGTTGGGACATGTAGAGAGGCCCTCATTAAGATCTTTTACTACCTCCACCACCATCACAACTTCCCCTTACACTTGAGATTCAGAGGAATGTGAGTCAGAAGGCAGGACTTTTTGAAGGTAACACAATTTCTGGAAACTGTTGCACTTGAAGATACCATCAGGCCCTCATTCCTAATTTTCAGGAACCTACCCAAAACCTTTCTTATAAAACAAGATAGTGGTTTTCATGCCGAGCTGTAGAGGTTGAGAATTCCATCTTAATTTATTATTTTACTTTTGAACATATATGGAGATTCTCAGTCATCCATGTCCTGGTTGTCCCAAAGGTGCTTTTTCAAGAGGCAACTGGACTTTCTGGGGTGTTTTTGGCTGTCTGCAAGGAGTATAGTAAATCCTTCCATTCCCCATCATCCAGTCAGAGCTGAAGAAGCTTCTCGGATGAGAAGCGAAACATTTCAAAGAAAAACCAGAAAGTCCAGTTGCCTCTTGAAAAATCATCTTTGGGTTTACTTTTGAATGTTATTATGCACAGTATTTCAAGAGAAGTACATTGTTATATACGATTTAGTCCCATAGGATTGGTGCTTATATAATTTTTTGAAAGCAAGCAAATAAATAAAGCTCATAGGAGATTTTTAACAAATGAATGCTAATACTGAGTTTTCTTCATGTCTAATTAAAAGTTCAAACATCCCTTTTCTCAGGTTATTTTACCACATGGGATTCTGCTTGTGCTCTGAGATCACCAGTCCAGGCGGCAAACAAATTTAATCAACAATGATTATGTAGATCAGGTTTATTTGAAAGTGAATATGTTCACTGATAAGTCTCTTTTTTCTTTCTTTCCCCCAAAAATTTCTTTTAAAATTGGACTTCATGTTAACTATTTTTTATTTTATTTTTTTATTTTTATTAGTCCAATTTATATGCCGCCCTTCTCCATAGACTCAGGGTGGCTTACAATGCATTATAGCAATAGCCTGCATACTTTTATGTATATACCTGCTTATTAGGACTTTCGGCCACCCCCTAAGCGGTGTTGTTCTATACAAAGCTGGCTTATTGCCCCCACAATCCGGGTCCTCAATTTACCTATCTCGAAAGAATGGAAGGCTGAGTCAACCTTGAGCCTGGTGAGATTTGAACTTGCACTAATTGCAGGCAGCTGGCAGCTAAGTGCTAGCACTTAACAGCACTTAGTCTGCTCCACCACCAAGGCTCTATATACTGGTATTTATAACTAAAACTTTCTCATCATGAAAAACCGCATGTACTTCAGTTTTGTGAGTTTAGGAGCTTGGGGATAATTTGTCAATTTCTTTGCCTTCCAGATTTTGGCCAACTGACTTGAAAGTACTGTATCTTCTTTTAAGTATTTGTTTGCAGAGCTGGACTGAAGGGAAAGTTCATAGTGCTTTACATTCTCCAAACAGCAGAATAATGTACTAGATAATTGAAGTTACAATCAGGTTTAGATTCATTTTTGAAGATCTGGTAGTTAAAAGAAGGGTACGCAATACAGAAAGATGCATTAATTTCTATATGATAAAACACTATAGAAGTCCCTATGTGCACATCTAAAGATTACAAGCAAAAACTATTTAAAAATATTTTAAAAATCCAGCAGCTGTTTCATAAATAAAACTAGAACAATTATTTAAGAACATAAATGATTTCCAATGATTTTTATCTTTTTATATACAGCCAGATGACACAAGACTAAGAAAACATAACAGATACATCAAGTCGACGGTAATGGGATATAGCAGCAACTTCTCCTCTCATGGTTTCCTTTTAACTCATATTACCTATCCTATCTTGGGTGACTTGAATTCATTCAACTGGCACAAATAATTTCTCATGAATTAATTCAACACAATGTAGTCCAGCTGTTATTTATCCCTGCCCTCTTAGCTTTTTCCTAACTTTTCCTACCTTTTTAGGAAAGTTGCCTGAAATAAGGCAATCATAAACAACTTCTATATTGTTGTCAAAAAAAACCTACACAGATCTGCCAAGAAATCACCATGAGTAGAGCCTGATTTCCAACAGGTTTTATTTATTTTTTGAATGGAAATATAATGCCCTTTTAAAGCCAGATTTGTACATATTTAGGATCCGGGCCAAGATTTATGGATTGCAGGATGGGAGGAGGATCATTTACTATCCTCCTTAAGCAGCAATGTCACTTGGGATTATGCTGCTACTTTTTATAATGCAGATGCACATATTTTGCTACATGCTGGGATAGTGCACTCAATTTCTTATTCACATTAAGAGGATTACAGTCAAGAGATATTAGATGACAAAAAAACAAGTCAGCTTGATTTGGGCTAAAATAGTTCAGTGCAGGTTTTTTTTCCCTCCAAACCTGGCAATTTTGTTGTGTTGATTTCAACTCCTACTGGCTGGGAGGTTTCTGAAACTTGAAGTCCACATGTCTTAAAGTTATATTATTAGTTCTTGGCCCAAACCTAGTATCATGATTGCAAGAAATGGTTCAACACTAAATATTCTCAGTCTTTGCAATTTATGTGTTTTTGCCTTCCTGGTTCAATTCACTACAAGAGAGAGAAATGTTCTGAGGCCTGCACACAGCCCTCAGAGGCCCGTCGGAATAGGGGTGCTGTAAACTGGAAGCATAGTTTCTAATTGCTTTGAGAAGAGAAACAAAATGAAGTGTTAGTATGAGTTAGGCGCATCACAGTTAAACATTAAAGAAAATTTCTCAATCCCATCTTCAAATCCTGCCATCCCCATACTTGTGATTTGGGTCCACCCACTCTGTGGCTTCAGGCCTACTCTAGATATTAAACACAGCCATTGTCCTTCAAGAAGTAACCAACCTCAACACACAGATCATTAAACACTACAGGAGACAGATTACAGGAGACAGAATTCACAAGTTAAAGTACTTTTGAGAATTCTTAAAAACACTCACTTTTTGACTATAAGTCCCAAGCATTCTACCATATACCGCTGGAGGAGAGTCATGTTAATTGATGGCACAAAAAAATCAGAAGAACACTGAACAAAGTCAACATGTTTATGCATGTTACTAAAATTTGTTAGTATATGATATATGGTAAAATCCCTACCATATGTTACCGTGTTTCCCCGAAAATAAGACCCTATCTTATATTGTGTTGAATCCCGAAATAAGCGCTTGGCCTTATTTTCGGGGAGGTCTTATTATTTTGGGGCACATGGAGGAAACCAGAGGAAATGGTGGAGACCAGCTGCGCATGTGTTTAAATATTTTTGGGGAGGCCTTATTTTCAGGGGGGGCTTATTTTAGTGCATGCGCTCAAAAGTCCGATTGGGCTTATTATCAGGGGATGTCTTACTTTAGGGGAAACAGGTTGGAATGAGAAGTATGATTGAATGCATCTTGAGTAATTTTGCTAGTTTTCAGAACTTTCTATCAAGTTTACAAAATAATTTCAGGTGAAATAATCAATAATGACAAATAAACTATGCAAAAAAAAAAATGTATTGCCTACAACTTCTGATGTGCCTTGAGACCTGAGGTCTTGGTTTCATGGAATTGAAGGTTATGAGTCTTTCTTTATAACCAAGCACCATTCTTCTGTATGTGTGCATGAGTTACAGTGTTTCAGGAAGTAAGTAAATTAAAGCCAGACATTAAAGAGTATTGTACTCACTGAAAGTGACATATTGTATATACCTAAGCATAATATGTTCAGAAACATGTCAAGATGTACCAGGCTATGAAGGAACAGAAGATTCTTGAATTGATAATCCTGAAATGTTTCTTACATTTCCTGAGGGGGATTGATAGTGTCAGGTTGGGGCACAACCAGGGAAGTCCCATTTTCCATTCCATCAAAGGTATGTTCAGAAAGCTCTCCTGAAATTCCCATGCCTGTTTTGTTATTTGGTCAATGATAAATAGGTTTCTTGATTCATAAGATTTGTGTGACTAAAAGACTGAATGCGCGATTCTTGTACTGCTTAAATAAAGCTTTTAAAATCTGCCTGTAATCTTTTGGTACTATTGGACAATTCACTGACTTTGCTGTTGTGATGCATTAAAAGATTACTAATTCTATGGGAGAGGGCAAATCTCTTGTTACATTTGTAACAACAATAAACACAATTTTAAGATGGAATAGCTGTGTATGCAATATGATGGTTAATAAAACAAATGGGCAAAAATAATAAATCAAATTTAGAACAAAAGCTTAAAGTTTTAAAAGACAAAACTTCTAAACTCTCATTAAATGATGAGCAACTCAAATATCATCACGATGCTCATCATAATGGACAACCCAAATATAGCAGAACCCGCCTTTCTATGCTTCTTTTACTAGTGTTTTGTCACTAGATTTCAACATCAC